GCCGCTTGATTTCCCATTCCTCCTTTTTCCACTGTTGAATTGAAATTTCCACGATCTGAAACTTTCTCTCTACTTCGAGGATCTCCCGAGAATTTTCCTTTCCGCTGATCCTTCTGTCCAGGTCCGAAACTAGTTTCTCCTTTTTCCGAAACGCAGTCCACTCGAACGTAGACTCGGCTTATTTAGAGACCGATTCCCCACCCCAATTTATAATCCTCGCCCTCCATCGTTTCCCTCATTCTCCGTGTTCCCTCTTCCCACGAGGGACTTTCGAGGTGAGTGGACATTGAGGCGAAGCAAAAGTGCTCTCGTTAAAACTAGCCCGCAACGCCGCCTATGGCATCCGTCAAACTCTGATCTGACCAACAAGTCTACTTCACTAATTGCGCGTTGCTCACTCCTTCCCCGCATTCTCTCCCGACTGCCGTGGTCCTCTCGCTGTTCCACCCGGAGCGCTCCGAGCTCGCCTGCGAGCGTTATGCGTCACTCTCCCGAAACACAGCAACGGCAACTGCAACGTTCTCATCCTTTTTCAGTTGCCACTAAGCAACCAACTGATTAGACTCGTTCCCCCGATGACTCGTCCATGACTCGTCCCCCGCTCGCCCACACGCTCGATATGACCCGGATGCGTGGGTTTCACGCTCTCTCTGCTACTCGGCGAGGCATTAGTGAGACGCCACCGAAAATTGAGACATCGATTCACAATTCCCTCAGATTCCTCTGACCCTCGCCATGCCCCCCCTACGAGAGATTCCGAATGCTCCGGATCTCTCAGGAGGGGGCGATATAATGTTTTTGTCTTATTTCAGAACTTTCACGGGACCGGGGAAAAAGTTTCCGCAGAGTAAACGAATTTCCTCACTCCACAAAGTTTCGAGAAGTTTCTTCCCGCCCCATTCGCCAAGGCCTCTCATTTTCATATTCCGTTCTCTTCTCACTGCCAGTTCTTCGAGCGGACAGGACAAGCCATTTAGAAATTGTACGTTTCCGCCACCGCCATTCCAAGCCATACGAACCGCGAATCCATCGAAATTCCTCGTTTGCTTGGGCTCTGGGAACACAGACACGGATATCATATTCCACAGGAAGCGAATCAACTACGCGTTCGGCCGACATGAGAGAAGAGCATGGATTCCTGCGAGAAATTCTTCAAAGCTCCAGGGACCTCGAGTCGAAGGCTCCCCGCTCGGATCGAGTATGAATGCTGTAGAAACGGGGCTAGGAATCAGACTTGAGGGTAAGGGACCGGAACGGTTGAGAAGTTGGTGCCAGACGCATGAGGGCAGAGGTTGCGCTCAGGCTGAGAGGGAACGATAAGACGAGGAGGGCAGGAGGCGCAGTGAGTAATCTCTTCAAGAACGATTTCCTCTCGAGGATTCGGAAAGAGAATTGAATATCGATGCCAATGAGCGATCCACCGTTGTATCTGCCGCGGGTTGTAGTGGAGAGCAAACTCATCTCTCCAAGGTTATCGTGAACCTTGAGGAGAATGGATACGGGTACCTATCGATTGGACGGATGCAATGTTGATGGGAAAATCAGAGCAATCGGGAACGGTCCCCCCGGGGGAGCGCGTGCCTATCAAGGTCCTGACCCCGCGAGTCAGACAGACAACCGAGGACCCGGCGTTTTGGAAGGGGATATCTCAGAGAATGGGGCTTCAAGTTTTCGAAAAGCAGACGTGGTTTAAGCGTCTCCCGCAGCACCGGGCGGGGAGGGGCTATATCGGTATCGGAGTACAAGTTGAACAGGAGAGTCGTGGAGTACCCCGTCAATCAGTCATGCTGGTCCAATACAACAATACCAGTATCTGAACCTGTGCTTGACGTCATATCATCTCACGTCGCTGGATCCGAAGGCTCCCCGCCTGCGGGCTGTCGAAATCGTCGACGAGCTGCTCAGCTCTTCAGAAAGGATCACCGTATCCCCGGCACTACGGCTTCGTGATGAGTTCGCAAGCAGCCTAGTCCCCAGGAGAATGGAGAAATTTTCATGGCCACTCCCAGGATGCTTCCCTTTAGGTCAAGTCAACGCCGATGCAGTGGCCGGAACACGTTTCTATCACGTTGATGGGGGAAATCGGTGCATAGAGCGTCCTCCGAGCTTCTATGCCGTTCTCGGATCTCCGTCATTTTCAGGTCAGCCCTGTCTCGAGAGAAAACACGTGTCGAGGGTCAGACCGCTCGGGACCCGAAACCTCATTTTGGCTGATTCTGAGATGTACCGGATTCGTGGGTCCATTGAATGGATTTCTCACCTATTTGATCCCTCTGTTCGGAGGGCGGACACTCATGGTTGCTTAGGTCGCTGCGGGCTTTCTTTGGGGACACTTCATCCTCGCCGGAAAGAAGTTTTTTTGACACATCCAATTTTCTCCAAGAGATTAAAAACAAATGGGAAGCTCTCGAAGTTGGACTTGGACTTCCCACCGAGTCTGGAGAAGCTCTATCGAAGATGGCTCGGCTGGCGTTCAAAGTTCCCCGCACGGTAGGCCATAGGACTCGAGCGCGATCCAAATGAGCAGCGAAAAGCCGTGATTGGAAAGATTGTCTATCAAAATCTGCGGTCAGACATCTACTCCGATATTCGTCTCGAACCTCCCGAGCGGGAGATCGAGCTTCCGATCGCCAGGATGATGCATCCAGAAAGGTGCATTCCCGTGGGATGAATGGATTTTCCGAATCAATCACTGAGCTGCATATGCACAAGTGTTCCAGAAGACAACAAGAGAGTATCCTCTACGTTTCCTTGAGCGCAGGATGAATGTCAAGGACCGAGTATGTATGAATCGGATCTCTCGCAACCGCCGGGGCCAGACGGTCTGCGATTTGGATGCAGCGAACGGAACGAGACATCGATCGATGAGGCATTGTTACGGTAACTATAAAACGTCTTTTGGCCGATTTCGAGCGAAGGAAGTTGGGCATTTCTGTTCACTGATCCACGACGAGCCATGAAGCCCTTCACGGCGTGTGTGACGGTCGCCGCTCTTCTCAGCGGAGTACTGTCAGCCCCCTCCTCTTCCGATGTCAGCAAATGGGAATCTTTCAAGTCCCTCCATGGTGAGTTGTAGGTCTCAGTCTCCGGATATCTACACGAGAGAAGCGAAATCGGACTCGACCCGCTCTTCCAGCATCGTCCCTGAAATTTTTCATCTGAATTCATTGTGTGTGTTTCTATCCGATGAATGATCCCAATCATTCGCAGGTAAGCGACACGCTCCCTCTCAGGATGCCGTCCGCATGGCGAAGTTCATCCAGAGGAGCAGAGAAATCGACGCCCACAACGCACGTTATGAGGCCGGTCTCGAGAGCTTCTCCCTGAAGCTCAACCAATATTCGGACCTGAGCCCCGAGGAGTTCGCCCAGAACGCTCTGGGATTCACTCCTTCGAACGACTCCCTCCCTCAACCCCACTCTCTGGAAGTTGCGCCCAGCCTCCCCGAATCTCTCGACTACAGGGAGACCGGAATCATGACCCCCGTCAAGAGTCAAGGGGGCTGCGGATCGTGCTACGCGTTCGCCGCGACCGGCGCACTCGAAAGTTACATCTTGCGCTTGAGTACCAACAAGAACGTCGATCTCTCCGAACAGGACGTCGTCGATTGCTCCTACAGGAAATTCATGGGCAACAACATGAACGGCGGTTGCCGTGGAGGTCATCCGACCGCGGTGTTCGATTACTACAAGGAGAAGGACGTCATCATGGAGGACTCGTACGAATACGTTTCGGGCCAGACCGGAACCCACCAAGAGTGTAAGATCAAAACTCCCGAGCACAAATTCATCCGCGACCGTCTCAGGCACAAACACGTTCGACCTGAGCGCGAGAGCGACCTCAAACAATACCTCGTCGAGTACGGACCTCTCGTCATCGGAATCGCGGCCGACAACGAGCACAAAGCCATGTTCAAAGATCTCGGCGACGGTATCTTCGACGTCGACTACACCGTCAATTTGCAGCCGAACCACGTCGTCGTGCTCGCCGGTTACGGAAGCGAGAATGGAAAGGACTACTGGATCATCAAGAACTCCTGGGGCACCGACTGGGGCGTCGGGGGATACGGCAAAATCGTTGCCGGCAAAAACATGGCCAACATCATGGCCTCCGGTATCTGGATCCTGGAATAAATCATGCCGTTAGGACTCTCCATGCCGTGTCTTCATTCAATTTGGAAACACACACACACCACACTTCATTCACTAGAGATCGAAAAAAAGCATTTTCCCCCGGTACGTTCATGGAGGCCTCAAAGAGGAACGATTGGTGGGTTCCCGAGCGAATTTCGAGTCTTTTAAGGAGAGCAGATCGTCGCTTTGACTTTGGTGAGGGCGCTTGAGCGGGCGGCCTATTAGGAGCCACGAGCACCCGCTTTTTTTTGCAGACTGACCGAGACTATTTTGGTGCGCGCCAAGGAGTCTGAGGAGGAATCCGAAGGGAGCTTACGAAGAGCTGGACTTCTGGGATGTCCCAAATTTAGCCCATCTTCTCCCAAGTCGCTCTGGAATGTACTCCGATATTCCGGTGGAAGAGAGTCGAGCTCGATCCTCCACTGAAATTCCAGAATCATCGAATTGTAACGAAGTCTCCATTCCAGAGGTAGAGTTTAGATTAGAGCAAACGGGTTATGAGCGGGTTCGGAAAGCGAGAGTTCCGATATGGGGAAGAGCCTCCGCCAACGGGGATGAATTTCGACACGCAGCGAAATTCCTCTACTGACAGAGTTTCGCCACGGCAGGGACCGGATCGACACGCTCCAAAGCAGACGTATTCATCAGTTCGACGGTGGGGAATTATAAGAAATCGATGCAAACTTTCTGACGGCTCGATGGGATCTTCATTAGCAGCCAAAAGAGCTACTCCATTAAGGAAAGATGACATCCCGGGCGTCAACTTTGGGATCCTCTCGTCAGCCCCTCAGGCGTGGAGTTGAAAGCAGTCGACGAAACGAAAGCCGAACTCTCGCGGTCGGACAGACGTCCGTACCGACATGATCACGCTCACCGATCTCTCACTCTTCGTAGACGACATTTTGGCTGGAAAAAACTACATGTACGACGCCGGACTTAATCATGTAAAGTGGAATAAGGCCGCCGAAAGGCTCGCGGGTCGGAAGGGAGTCGGGCGAGCGGGTCGGCGGCGAGCGGGTGTTCAGGCAGCTTATGAGCAGAGCTATCTCAAGCGCGATTTACATAAATGACTCGCTTTAGCTCCGACCAACATCCCTTCGCGAGCCTTCCCGAGATACTGATGGCCGCCAGCCGTCCCGAACCCGCCTAGCCCCCGTCTTTTCAGTGCCTGTTCGCTCTTTTGAAAACCTGTGACACACGGCCGAGCTGTGATCTCAGTCAGTCTCAGGGCTCCGCGAGACTCTATCACGTGTCGGATATTTACGACAAGGAAATTCATCGAATGTGGGCAGCTGCTCAATACGCTTTCGAGCTGATGGGGGCCGCCCGCGTTCTCGGACTTTCGAATCGACCAGTGAACCGCGAACTGAATGAATGAACGAACTCAGGAAGAGAATCGCCGGAGCTCGTTCTCGACGCCGCCGCCGATGATAATCTTTGGTGTTTCCATTCGATGGATCAATGCATTGGAAACCGATCAGGATTTGAAAGTGCTCCACTGTATGGAAGTTCATTGAGACTGGAAGGAGCTCCCGAATTATCGAATCGGATGCGAGCTCATATGTACGGAGCGACAGACTCGGCAACGATCGGTATGACACATTTAATCAGCGGCGACGGGCCCGTAGAGTGCCCGCGTCGTGTCATTGATATTCTGAAAAACCGATCGCCTCCGACGATCTGCTCACGTCCTAGCGAACGTGACAAATTCTCACGCCCGTCTCCTGCGGAGCCCTACTTTCAGTTTCCCCCGATAATTATTCCCCGTTTCACTGATTTTGACGTGAAAACGTCTTTGTCGCAGGCTTTGCTGACCAATTCGATGTACTTCGTCCTTCAAGCAGCGAAATCTTGTCCGCTTTTGGAGCCTTATAATTCAGAAACTGCGGAGTTTCGGATTATCCGAGTTGCATCACTGGGTTGTAAATTTACGGCAAAGTCTCCAGGTGCAATCATTCGCGAGGCAGATCTATCATTCGATTTCTACAGTTGATTTTCCACATACCCCTGGATTCGGCACGAAAGCGTAAAAATAAGCGCGAATTAAGGCATAGCCCGTCAGTCTTTCGAAGGGGATTCTATAAGGCGAGGTCGGCGAGTGAGAGCCCGACAGAAGGCAGCAGACATATAAGAGCGAGAACCTCAGGGCTTCCGATTATTCGATGAAAACTGCCAAAATCGAGATCGAGTCGGGTCGGGCTTCGATCATGATTATGATTTGCTAGGGTGAACAACGATGGTTTCCTCGTATGGTTTCCCAGAAAACCAAGTAGTTCTCCTGACTTGTGGCGAATTGAGCTTATCGACGATAGATGAGACCCTTTGAAGGGAGCTCCTGGCGACAGAAGCGGCACGACGAAGTATCTTCAAGCTCAGCGAGTGCGCGTGTCAACAGATTTAGGCTGTCATCGGGAGGATCTCTTCATGGGGCGACTCATCAAGAGTCGACTTCGGCTCCGGCTCCGAAGGTCGCCGTGCTCAGAAAAGCCGCGGTCGCGATCGAATCCGGTTCAGTGAGATCTGAATGCCATCATGATGACGAAATCATGCGATATTCTTTCTACACTGCTGCAGTGGAACGCAAACTCAGCAATTCCGGCGTGTCTTCCTCCAAAACGTGTACCGCCATGCTTGTAAGATGGATGAAAGGCTCCGCTTTCTGCGACATTTGAAGATTGTCAAGGCCTCCATCGCACAACACTCGACTGATGTTCCCCCGATGGGGACACAAATGTAATTTCAAGAAGCTAAACTCAGCTCAAACTTATCATAACTTATGAATACTTATCATATCGACGTCCCCTTCACGTCAAAAGTGAGGCTCAAACTTAACCGCGTTCCCTGGATGATGACGACCACGCGCTATATGTCGAACTGAAGACCAACAACATTCACCAATCGTCGTATCTCAGCGGACTCGTCGAGGAAGCCGCAGTGAGGGTCCGAAAAGCCTTCCTACTTCAGCAGCCAAGGACTACAATGGGTAGATCAGTGTGGCTTTCGATTCTGGATTCGAGGAGCGGAAAAACTTCCGAAGCTCGATAGCTGGCGCAGTTTTCGATGATTATGCCGACGGGATTCAGAAGAGGTATCGATGCCTTCGAACAACGGAAACCATCTCTCGTAGAATGATTGAATATCGCAGCCCCGTCGGGCAATCAGTGGGCTCTAACCGAGCTTTCACGAAAACTAACCCCAATTCCATGCTACAGTGGGCCGATAGAGAGATAGGTCTATTTTCCATGATTTGACAGCTCGGCAAGCCGACCGCTCGCCGGAAAAATCGTCATTAAACGTTTTCACGTGAATCTACGGTAATGTCATTGACACTACCTAGCTTCTTGCTTTTTCCATTCGTTCTTCTCCTCGTCGGACGCGGAGCATACGAGGAATAATAAGCTTATCGCACCCCGATGGAGACTCCGCTCGGATGAATGCGAGCCGTGAGCGACGTCGATCCCTCTGATCAAGTCTGCGCGAATCGTCGAACTCTGGGTGAGGAAATGAGAATGTCTCCCATAAAACTCTTTCTTGCCAGTCTCGTCTACGGGTCGTTTCTGAAATCGTTCTGTACCTCTCGGGCGTCGGTCGCTCCTGTAGTGAAACGTATCGACAGAAATTAATGGAATTGTCGAATTTGCCAGAGATGAATTTCGAACTCGGCATCGCCGATCTGAGACTTCTGTATGGGGGGGGAAAAAATTCATCGAGATATCGGTCGGGTTCCGCGCGCTTTGACTGAATAATGGGGATGCGGGAGCTATAAAGAGAGTCTGTCAATGCCAACGAGCTGGCAGCATCCTGTCATCGCGAATCGAGTCTGTGTAAGACCATGTCTTCGGTTGGGCAACAATCCGCTTAGCGAGCGATAGACAGATGAAGCGATAGAAACGACGGGATCTTCATACAGAAAAGAGATGCAACACCGAACGGCCGCCGTTCATGCAACATTGCCACAGAGTTTCGCTCAGTGAAGCTGCGACAGATCCCCTATACCATGCTATCGGTGTTACTTTCTTCCTCTTACTTGTCTTTGTTGTTCTAGCCGCTGCGTTTGTCTGCCAGCGAATAGGAACAACAGCCGTTGGAGCTCCTATTGCCCAAGCCAGTTATCGACAACCGGAGAATCCGCTCATGTCCATCGAGATATCTGCCCTCAGCGGTCCAGACCCGCGCCGGAAGGAGAGTCAGACCACGAGAATATGTACGATTTGGAGAGATAGTGCATGGAACGTTGACGATTTTGTTCGATCTCTGGGGGGAGCAGAGATCGAGCTATCCTGAAAGGAGGAGGAGGGGATTTCATTGGCGCCTCCGGTAGGCGAAGAGAGTGAGTTGTTTGCCTCCAAAGGTGTTGCACTACATACAGTGTGTGCATACAGCCGCTTCAGCGCGTACGTCCGCGGCAAGCTCGGCTTTGAAAAAATTACCGGAAGTTTTGCAAAACCTCCACCCGGTCGTTCCGTGTGAGGGGACCTAAGCCAACAAAAGTCCACGGAGCCCTTCAAAAAAAGAGAGAGGAGTATGACGTTGCGCAAAAGTTTCACGGATCATCTACTTCTCCGACGAGGGTCTTATGCTCACGACGACTGGCGACAGAGCTTCCAGGTGGACGACGAGAGACATCCGAGCTGGTTTCAAATCTCCTCGAAGGAGGCCCGTCCATTGTGAGCGGAACTGATTGGAAACTGATTCAAATCCCGAGTATTCTCTGCCATGGACTCATCACAATGACTGAGTGAGCAGACCCAACCTCCGCAGCGGAGTAACGTCCCTCCGAAGTTTGCGACAGTCTTGGAACTTTTGTTGAGACCTCAGAATTTTGGCTGAGAGAAGCAATCGGTCAGCTTTACCTCGACAGCCATCCCCGACAGAACTTCTGAAGCCTGACGCTGATTCGCTGAAGTTGCAAAGCTACGCCGCTGCCACCACCGCACCGCCATCCTCCCGACAAGGCATTCAGTATCCGGGACTCACCTCTGCATATGTGGTGTCGGGAGAGGACAAACAAAAGATTGCATGTACCTAACTCGACGGACACAATGCCCTTTCTGAGGAGAGATCAGAGGATGGACGAACTCTCTCCTCATCGGTCTGAGGGCAGTCACAACGAGTTCTGAGAATACCCAAAATCGAGAGTATCTTTATCACGATGGATCTCGCAGAGAAGCGAGCGTCCCGGAGCCCATTCATTCTCATATCCATAATTATCGTTCCGATCGAGTCTGGAATTTTGTTTCAGTCGCGGGAGCGAACCGGACACCTCGAGATGATTCGAAATCTGAGCCCGGTGTGTTGCTCCGCGGACGACGACGATCTGACTCTATTCGGAGGCGAAAGAAAAATATGACGGAGTACGAAGCCGGTGACACTGTATTCGAAGATGAACCGTATGCGGCGATCGTGAGCGCGACTTCTCTCGACTCCGTGTGCTCCTTCTGTTTCAAGAACTACGTCGAGTACCGGTGTTCTTTGTGTAATCGGCTATCGTACTGCACCGAAGGGTGTCAGGTGACCATTATATCCGAATCAGAGTTGTCATATTCTTCTCGAAAGTATTAATTTCAGTATGAACATCAATTATTTGGATCTAGTATGCCCATCTCTATTCCGGGATTCGAGTCAGAGTCGTCCGCGTTTTTGCTCTTTCCAGCAAGCGGATGTTTTCCACGACCGCGTGGAATGCATAGCTCTCGCCGATCAGGACAAGATTGTGGAAGACGAGGTGCGTCTCGTGATTCGGACGGCGGCGCGTTACAAGCACGAGCAACAGAGAAACTACGCGAGTCTCGGGAATTTTTTCGGTCTGGAGAGGGGGCTCGATGATTTGGTGAGTCATCTCGAAGACCTCAACGACGACGAGAGGCAGAAAGTCAAAGCCAAAGCCCAGCAGATCAAGAGCATCCTTGACAGAGTTGGCGTCTCGATCGAGAGGAAGGAACTCATGGAGATCTACATGAAATGCAAAATCAACTGCCACCTCGTGATCGACCATAACGAGCCGGAATATCTGAGTAGAGGTCGGGCGATCTACTTGGCGGCCTCGAAACTCGATCATACCTGCGTTCCCACCGAGAACTATACTCTCATGTTCGACGGACGGAGACTCGTCATCCGCGCCATGAAAAATTTCACCCTGAAAGATCCGTCGGACTTGCGAATTCACTACGTGCCGTCGAACCTCTCCTACAACGACCGCCGAGACCGTCTCCTGAAAAACTACTTTTTCCTCTGCAGTTGCGATCAGTGCGTTTCGCAATTGAGATTCCCCGCTGCCGACGACGACAGTCGAGAGGAGCGCGTCTCTGAGATAGCCGAGGTGCTCAGGCAATACGATCCGGATTCGTGGTCTTGGTTCGATACCGCAACGAAGGTCCTTCAAAAATTCGAGGGCGTCACGGATAGGGATTTCCATTTGCATTGGCTTCTTCTCCACACTCAACAAGCCGCTGCTCATCAGAAGTTGTACTCGCGAAGTCTCGAATACGGGACCCGGGCGCTGAAAGGCGCAACCACCGTGATGGGCTTCCAACGGATTTTGTTCGGCTTGTTGAGCTGTGCGAAACATCTCGGATGGAACAAGAGAGACAGTGCTTATATCGACAATTTCACCGGTATCAAACGCATTTCTGAGAAGCTCTTCACCATCACTCACGGCAAAGATCATAGTATAGTCAAAATGATAAGCGAATCTAGGCCTGTCGAGCAGAGTCGCTGAGGGAGGACCTCATTCGAAGCGATAAACTGATTCGAAGCTGCTGGCCTCCGCCTCTATGTGCCCTGAAATTCGAGCTTTCTGATGCTTGGTGAATTCATTCATAGCTGATAATGAATCTCTCGACGAGAACCCCTCTGACAGAATTTCGAGGTGATAAAATCGATTCTCCCGCGTAGTTTTCATTGATCGGTGGTCATTGACAATGATCATAGCTGCTGGCATACTTTTCTCTCTTAGGGGCTCATGCAGGGGCTCGGTGGGCTTTGATTGAATGACTCGAGGAGGGTCTCGGCGGCTCCCGATGAACATCTCACCCTCCAACTTCAGCCCAATCGAACGACGTGAGATACATATGCTCGGAGCTTTCCCCCCCTGGGGAAGGAGCAGGTCTCGATCCTGACTCAGTCAGTCTCATCATCAATTTCTCTACCATTTCGAATAGGGTATTCCTCATGCATTTACACTCAGTACCGTATCAGAGGTCACAGAGAGGAATTCAGCGGAACTCCATCGAAGAATTGTCGCTCCGAGAATTATTTGAGCTTCCCGCTATCCCTGTCCTTCATGAATACGCACTAGCAGGCGTCGGGCTCGTGCTGCAGGAAAACGCGATCGAGAGCATAATCCAAATGGTACGTGCTCGGGAGCGGAGGCCGCTTCGCACCCGAGGACTCTCTGGCAAATGTCAGAAAGTCGCGTCCGGCGGCTCGTTAACGAGCATTCGTTTTTTCATTCGGACTAAGCCTTACCGACACGACGTCCCCTGGTAGACCCAGCCTCGGAGCTTGTCCGATCCGAATAGTTCTCCCACGGCATCCGCTTTCGTAAAATGATTGAAGTTTCCGAGAGGGACAGCGAGAGTGAAATTTGATGAGACTGTGTCGGCGGAGCCATAACTCCCAATCAGACACAGATCGGCCATCGGGAGGCTGTTGGAGGCTTGGGTGAGCAGTTTATTAAATTCGTACACACGGCCCCAGTCACGTCGGAAGCACACAAGCCACGTAGATGGCGCAAAGCACTCATAATTACACCAATTTCGAGCAATTTTCCGCCATTTAGAGAATATAGGCTACCGTTGAGAATTCGGTCACGTGACCATCGTATTCGCGGCCGGCCACGATGGTGACACAACGGGAGCGTTGACAGCGAGCTGAGGACGCCCTCGAGAATGTGGCAAGCGATTCTTCAAGCTGTCCCGGGGGCAATGTCGGAGCCGAACCCTACCGCACCACTGGCGCCCATGGCGCGACTCAAGGACAAATACGCGATACCTGAGTGCCGCACTCGGCAATTAACCTCAGGGGTCCTGAATGATGACGCGCCCTTTACTTAAACATAAGGAGAGGAAAATCTCGGAAAGGGCATAGGGAGCTCATCATCCTTGGTGCACGCCTGATTTCACCATATCGGCATTTTGAAGCTCTCCGACCCCCCCCGAGCCCTAGCGATATATAGTAGTATGTATTATATGATATAATTATTAATTTTAATCTATATATATAGCCGTGAGGCCATCAGCCAGAATGCTTGAGCAGAAGGATTATTGGTCCTCAAGAGTTCATGGAAAAGACGAAAGATTGTCTCACGGCAGTTCCTATTGATTTGTCGACCCACGAGCTAGTGGGCTGCCACATCAGTGTCTATACTTAATGCCTGAGCACATTAAGGCGTTTCAGCATCGCGGGTATAGAGTCCTCCGAGCGAATGGTAGACTTCGCCCTGGACTACTAAATTGAGATCTGGATGCAGTGATCGGCATGCTCGCCGAACGCTAAAACAAATGGAGCCGAGATGAGTGATGACATCATAGTGAAGCGGCTTGACATTTTGTATAAAATATCGATTTCTGGACAAACACGTCATTTTCACGGAGAACATGCGGCTAAGCAATCTAAAAAATGTATCCGACCTCACAGAGGTGATTGCGCATTGACCGGGAAAGGTGCGGGGTCTGTTCGGAGGAGGAAAGCGCCAAAAATTGGTTCGGTGTCAGACAGACATAGCGATTTTGTTATATAGGGGGATATATAACATATATTATGTGATATAATAATTATAATATATAGTATGACTCACAGAGGTGATTGCGCATTGACCGGGAAAGGTGCGGGGTCTGTTCGGAGGAGGAAAGCGCCAAAAATTGGTTCGGTGTCAGACAGACATAGCGATTTTGTTATATAGGGGAATATATAATATATATTATTAATTATATATTATATAATAATTATAATATATAGTATGCTATATAGACATTATTTAATGTAATTATCAGCCGAAGGATGATAAGGCGCGGCCGCATGTCCGGGTCGAGGACCTGAGAGGTTTTGAGGCCTCGCCTTCGAACCCTGGGATTCGAGCTGAAACCTGGGAATCATAGCTCTAAGCTTTTCTCTGGAGAATCCATTTTGAGCTTCATATAGGTTCTGGAGGCATTGAGACGTGTCCCTCAAGGACGATACATGCTCTGAGCTCATGGCAGCGAGAAAAATAATCTAGGCAAATACGGAGGTCAACGGAGCCCCCTATCCGAGCCCTCTAGCCTCTAGCGAGGGATGAGACGTCTAGGAGGAGTCGAGTTGTCCTATTCAGAGGGATTCCTGCTAATTATGTCTGGACCCGAGAAGCTCTCCCGTCTCCCACCCGAAAGCCGCGAGGTGACCGGCCTGCTTGGAGCTGACCGTTTTACGCATGCTTGCCGAGAACCCGGAAGACGGAGGAATGAGAAATTTCCGCGTTGTAAGCCATTGCACAAGGAGCTAATTTTTGTCTTGTTTCGAAACTGAAGAGGGAACTCCAGACGTTCCCTCACAAAAATACAACGAATATAGAAGCATCAGCTACCGATCCGCACCGGCAGCCAATGACCTAGACCCTAGACCTGGAACCTGAGGCTTCGCTTTCAATTATGGCGAGCGGCCTCCGACAGTCATGCAGGTCGGTAATTCTGTGACTCATATATTTTCATACCGACGGACGACTTCAAGCTGTTTCGGAAAACCCATTCGGGCCCCGGCGAGAAAGCGAGTAAAATGATTCTGTGTCGACTGTTGCATGCATGTACTCCGAACGACAACCATACTTCCCGCTGCCGTTGAATCGTCTGCGTTCGCTCCCGGGCGTACCGCTCTCATGGAACACCTGCGTTGCGAGCGTCGAGTCGACCGGAGAAACCGTTCCGCGAAGAGCGCCAGGCCTCGGGGTAGTCATAAAACGAAAAACAAAGCTACGGGGCTCACCGGGATTAGTGTGAAGGCGCAGTCTGTTGCCATAACTCGCGCAAAGCAACTTCTCTCTTTTTCGACAACGATCACCGCCGTCTCCGGTCTTTTTGCGTCCGTGGAAAAAGTGGAAACTTCGCAACCCGGATCGAATGGAGCGCATTGGCACCGGGCGTCGCTTCCGAAAACAGCTATTCCAGGCAGCGATTGACCGCTTCTCTTTCTCCTGATTTGTCCTCTCTGTGTCGGACAGGATGAGCTCGGTCCAGTGCAGGGCTCTCACTTACTCCCAGGTAATTCTCTGCCCATGCATGTAATACTGAGTGGGTGAGCGAGTGCCCGGGCCTCCATGCGAGAATTTTGTCTCGGGGAATCCAGAGCGAGCACTTGAAGGCGGAACAAGCAACTGAGCATAACGGGAGTGAATTATGCACTGACCCGATAAGATGACTATGAAAATTCGATCCCGTATGCGATGTCCGAGCCGGAGATCTTGGAAGGAGCGGAACGAACTTTGTTAGGTCAGCCGATGTCGGCGGGAACATCCATAAAAATTGTCTGACGCAGCCCGAGAATGGGAAGAATCTCGGCCAAGAAGCTCCCCGAATCGTCGTGCGAAGCCCGGTCCGTTGCGGAGAGCTAGCTACCGTGTTCTGCAGCTCCTCGTAGAGATGCTACCGTCCGGGGAGATGTTGCTCTCAAACGTTACGCGAAAGCTGTTAGATCGTGTTACAGCCTCCTTCACGGCAGGACACATTAGACATTTAATGAATGTATGTATATCCGACGGGCCGTGGACACGCACCAGCACACAGGGACTTCTAGTGCGGTGGGTGCTCCGAGCTATCAGAGACTTTCTCTCTCCCGTGCAACACTCGGATGTGGCGGAAGGAGAGCAATTCGTCAAACGGACGGCAAGACTGCAAGTAGAGCCAGCTATAAATTGTCCCGAGTCACTTTTTCATATTTGGTCGCTCATATTTCTCACGCTGTTTTTGTGTTCTCTGTTCTCGGTCACTTCCTCTAGGTCGGTTCCCGGGCTTTCTTCGGATTCTTTCCTTCCTCCGCCTCCGAGGGGAAATATCCTTCTTTCCGTTTGTTTACGTCCGTTCACAGTTTTTTACCACTTCCTGCAATCCACTCACGACCTACACGAGAGCGACAACGAGGCTGAGAGAGAAAACTTGTCCAGGAAGGAGCCAATCAATGAATGCTTTATCCCTCCCTGAGGGTCAAGAAACTCTGACGTGAGGATCTCGATCTGCGTCTCGGCTCCTTCAGCTTCCTGCAGCCTCCGTTGGGTTTTTGCTCCTCATTTTCCCGTCATCATGGAGAGGGGAACGTGGAAATCGTTGGTGGATTCGTCGAGTTCCAATAGCGATGGAGCTCCACGGTTTCCCTCGCGGGCGGACGACCGGAGTGGCGTGGAGGATTCGTCCCGATTTGCGGTGATTCAGTTTCCTCAGAAGGGAATAAAATGATGGCCCGAGCTCGGCGTCTACTGCTCCCGATTGTCGCCCGCGAGACCATAGTGTGGAAAGTCACCATCAGCAGCCTGCAATCCACAACTACTGCGAGCGATCTCGGCCTCATCCAAGCGTTGTGGACGTCATCGACAGTCCATCAAACACGCGTCCCATCGGAATTCCCGAAAGCGTGTACGCAACCGAACTGGAAACGCGTTCGCAGCCGCGGAGGATCTGGGGACCGAACTCTTGAATGCGCTGTCGTCGGCTCTCGGGAGTGGGAGCTCCCGAGTAAGTATGATTTTCTATTGGG